TGTGGTGAGTGCACGCCCCCTATAGCTAAAACCTCTCAAAAAAAAAAAAAATTATGCAACATGCTTAATGTAACCAAGTCAAAACTGCCAACCTTAGGGCTGGCAGATGGTGTGGTGGTTGAGGTGCTGGACTCCCACATGGCAGACCATGGTTCAAGTCCTGGATCCAGTGGTTTGCTTTTTCACTATCACTCTCTCTCTCTCTCTCCCTGTCTTTCTCTGGTCAAAGTGAAAAATAATAATAATAATAATTAAAATTAAATAAATAATTTTTTAAACACTGCCAAGCTATTTATTTCAGAGGTTTCATTTTTCCATCTTCACTCCTCCTTTCCCTTCAGCCCTCTCAGGTTGCCACTGCTAAGAGCTTGAAATCTATCCTTCCACCTGAGCAGGAGCTCAAGTATATACACATACACAATTTCTCACTTCCTTAAACTAAAATAGGATTATATGAGACAAATGACCACAAAGCTTGCTTCTTTTTTCACTCATCATATCATGGATATTCTTTTTCAAGTTAAAAAATTATTTTTAGTTACATAATACCTAATGTAGGGATATCCCATAATTTGGTCACCCACTCCTCTATAGACATTCAAATTGTTTCCTATTTTGTTTTACCTGTACAAAAAACAGAGTGAGGGACATCCATGTCCATGTAACTGAAAAGCCCCATATTATGCTATGTGTAGAACAGTTTCCCAGAAGAGAAATCACTGGTCCACAGATACACACACACACACACACACACACACACACACACACACACATTTTTAATTTGCTGGGGCACATGTGCTTGCAGGGAGGTGGGGGGGGGGAAAGCAGCCCCCTCAACAGGGCATGATCATGCCACAATCTCCTCCATTTCTCCATCTGGTGGAGGTTTGGGGCACACACACACTCTCACACACACACACACTCTCACACACACACACACGCACACACACACACACACACACACACACACACACACACACACATGCTGGGCATGTTTTTCAAGTCACCAGGGCCAGAACTCAAATCGAGGTTGGTCATGTGGGATCCAATTCCCTTAACCATTCATATCTATGCATACTTATGGCCCCAACAAAATATTTTCAAGATAAAAACAACTTGCTTTTAAAAGTATTTCATAGGAGAAACTGAAATACTGTTTAAAACTCTTACCGGCTTCTTTGGCAATGGAATATTATAAGGTGCAGAACCAAGAACCATTTCAAAGAGTTTGTCTGAGTAAGGTATGGTTTTCTCTACACTTTCCCGGAAATGGGAATCCCATTTGGCATATAGGATAGTGCCACCGACACCTCCTCCAACAAACAAAATGCCTGCTCCAGCGATTTTCCCAGCAGTCAACCTGAGTGAGAGAAAGAGGAAACGAATTTCTAGTTTTTGGCTCTCCTATATCTAATCTCCTCTCTTATACCAAGGCAGAGTCTCAACGTGCTCTATACTCTAAGCTCTATTTCTCTATCACTGACTCAAATCACAAATTTAACACATCAGCTGCGCATCACATTTTCCTGATTACTTTTTAACATGTCTGCAATGGCAAATAACATCCATTAATAATAGGTAGCTAAAATTTTTTCCAAATTCAGTATCTAGAATAAAAAGAGTGATGCAAGACCAGCAGTTAGCGTAATGGCTATGTCACTGAACTCCCATGTAGCCTAATGCAGTTCGAGTCCCAGACCCAGTGGCTTAAACTCACGCCGGGCGCATGTGCATGCATGCCCAAGATCCCGAGAGGAGAATGGAGGAGAAAGGATTGTGGCGTGGCCATCTCCCCGGGAAGGGAGTGATTTCTCACTTTCTCTCTCTCTCTTTCTGGTGAGCGCACACGCCCTATAGCAAAAACCTCTCCCAAAAAAAAGAGTGATACGAAATGCCCTTTGATACTTAAAATGTTGACAATCACGAGCTCTCCTTTGAGCCCCAAAATGAACTATAACTTCCAAGGTCCGTCTTTCTTAAACTTATTTCTGTTTAATATAATAAACTCTACAAAAGTGAGACAATAAAATAACAACTAAAACTAACAAATACATTTTTAAGTGACAACTTGCTGAGTTCAGGATACACATCTACCTGCCACAAAACTGTCTACCTTGGATGCCGCCCAATTAGCAAAGAACCAAGATGAACATATTAATAAATTTAAATCTACACACACACAAAAGTTTAAATCTACAAATAAATAATGCTCCAGGAGGAGGTTTCCATAGCTATTCCCAGAGTTAAGAAACACACACACACACGCACGCACACACACACACACACACACACACACACACACCTGAGCACTCGTGTAAAGCTCAATTACAGAACGACAAACTACATACCCAGAACTGCCTGAAGTGGAGTATCTGCGGCATGGTCGCAATGGACGGAGGACAAACTTCCCACAGAGACAACTCTGAAGAGGAGAAAGCATCACAACAGGTTAGCTTTTAGGGTTGATAATGTAGAATACTCTTATTATAAATGACTTTGTTAAGCAAAAAATTTTATTTTCATAAATCAATTTATCATGGAACATTTTATACTCTTTAAAAACAGTGATTCCACATGGCCGACCTTCAGTTTGAATTCATACACACCCAGTTCATATAAAATTGCTTTTGTGTTTAAATTGCCAGAGGACACGCAAATTCACAAGAGAGACAGAAAGGAAGAGAAAGCATCCCAACAGGAAGTAGTCATGCCACAATCCCTCCTCCATTTCTCCATCCTGTAGAAATTGTGGACATGCACGTATACACATCCTGTATGATTTTTAAGCCATGAGGCTAGAATTTAAACTGCAAGCAGTCACATGGAAGCTGGCTCCCCTAACCACTAGGCTATGGGGCCAGTCCACCTTTAATATTTCAAGGGTTATTGGGCTATCACTAATTAGCACTGCTATGTGTTTAATATGCTAATTATTTGTTTTAGTTTGTTAAATTGCCAGAGGGAACACCAGAGAGAGCGGAAAACAGAGAAAGCATCTCCCAAATGCATCATACTGCAAATCCACCTCCATCTTGTTGGGATTTGGAGCACGTGCACGCATACACACCCCCAGTATGTTTTCTAAGCAGCTGACACCAAGATTCAAACATGCAGCTGGCCATGTGGGATCTGCCTTCCTTAACCACCATGCTATGGAGTTTTTATGCTAATTATTTCTTAAATACAATTGCAATTCACCATATGCTTTCTTAATATACAAGAAAAATAAAATAGTATAAAATACTGTTTTACTTTGGAAACTTAGACATTTGAAAAACTGCCTACAAATTCTAGCTGAAAATACATTACAGAATACATGGGAATCCACTTGGGAGAAATCCAACCTCAGCTTAATTTACTCAGAAAACCAAGTTTCCCATCTCTATGCTAACTGTATAGCTGGTCAAGTCCTAGAGGCATTCACCTAAATCTAAAGTTCATTCTTGTTTTATCCCAGTGTATCATCAGACTAAAAGTCAACAATTCTATAAAAAAAAGGAATGTTTTAAAGTTTATTTATTTCATGGGGTTGGGGGCCAGGTCTCCTTCACAGGGTCTCACCAAACTGAGCTCCACCAACGGTCTTCCAGGGAGCCAAGATCATGGGCATACCTGGCAAGCTCAAGTCAATCAGGATCCATACCTGAGGCTCAACATATGGGCCCATTATCACACAGCAGTCCCCTACCACCTGTGACATGCAGCTGGGCTAGCAAAAGTTTTGTTCGTTTTTATTCATTTGTTTATTTTAATATGACCAGAGAGAGACAAAGAGAGAGGGGGAAATTGAGAAAGCACGCCACCAAGTCCAGGACTCAAACTATGGTCGGTCATGTGGGAGTGTCCAGCGCCTTAACCACCACCCCACCACCTGCTGGTCCCCCAGAAAAAGTGTTTAATGCTCAAGTGCACTTACCTCCACAGAAGTAGTCTCTCCTTACAATATGCTTTGCAATTTGTTTTAAAGCAAAAAATGCAAACACAAATGTTTCCTAACAATATGTGCATTCCTTGAAATAAACAAATAAATGTCTAAACACTATTTGGGGGGTGATTCTGATCAACTGAAAACCATTTGTACCTATTAATTTGAAATTTATTACATACATAGATAAAACCTGCTTTATGTAGAAAGAGAAAGCACGCCCAATGGGGCATGGTCGCACAATCCTTTTTCCTTTCTTTTTTTTTTTTTTTAAAGAGATTTTTGCTATAGAGAACATGCGCTTGCCAGAGAGACAAGAGAGACAAAAAGCAAAAACTCACTCCTCAGTGGGGATGGCCACGCGGCAATCCCTTCTCCTCCACTCTCCTCTTGGGATTTTGGACACACGCACACTCACCCTTGCCATGAATTTCAAGCTGCCCGCCCCGGGCCTTGAACCTGGTTGACCACATGGAAGTCTAGCAGTTTAACCACTATGCTGCCTGGTGGTTCCTTTCCTCCATTTTTTCACCCTGTCAGGACACATGCATCTAATCCAGCATGTTTTTGTTTTTTTTTTTTTCTGGAGAGGTTTTTTTGGCTATAGGGCGCATGCGCTCGCCAGAAAGACAGAGAGAGACACAGAGACAGAAAGCGAGAAATCACCCCCCAGGGGGGATGGTCACGCCGCAATCCCTTCTCCTCCATTCTCCTCTCAGGATCTTGGGCACGCATGCACACATGCCCGGCGTGAGTTTAAGCCACCGGGTCCGGGACGCGAACCGCAGTCGACTACGTGGGAGTCCAGTGACATAGCCATTATGCTAACTGCTGGTTCCCCAATCCAGCATGTTTCTTGAGCCACTGGAGCTGGGATTCAAACCAGTCAAGCCAGGGGAGAAATCTAGCTTTCTATGCACAGTACTTAACCACTGTGCCCTGGAATCCAGCCCAACAGAACATATTTTACCTGACTGTAAGTTAATAGTTTCTAGTATTAAAAGGATTTAAAATATAAAATTTTAAATTAAAATTCAAAAGGTATAAATATGTGTAGAGTGAAGTCAACTCTCATACTCCTGTTCCTCAGACACTCAGTTCCCCTCTCCACTGTAACCAATGCTCTCCATCAGTTTCTTCATTACCCAGAGGTATTCTGTGGATATTTATCCAATGAGCATATTCTCCTGAACTAGAGAAGTTGACACCGTGGTTGACTACATGGGAGTTCAGCAACATAGCCATGACGCCAACTGCTGGTCCCATGGAATATATTTTAAAATAACCTACAATGTAAAAACAACTATATTGGTTTCGGGGCCAGCAGCGTGGTAGTTAAGGTGCTAGATTCGCATATGGCCAACCATGGTTTGAGTCCCGGACTTGAAGGTTTGAAAACCATGCCAAGCACATGTAAGCACATTCCAAAATCCTGAGAGGAGAATGAAAGAGAAGAGATTATGACCTGGCCATCCCCCTGGGGAAGGGGGTGTGATTTCCCGCCTCCCTCTATCTGGTGAGCACACACACCCTATGACCAAAAAAAAAGACTATTGTTTCAAAGCAATTTACCTCAACATAACCTTTTTAATAAATATTATTATGGTTATCACTGTTGTTTCCACCCTGCAGAAACGACTCAAACAAACAAAAAGGGCCAGCAGGTGGCATGGATATTAAGGAAGCTCATTCCAACATGGTCAACTCTGTAGCTCAAGTGCTAGGCCTGGCGATTTGAAAAATCATGAGACACACGTGTGTGTACCCAAACTATTGAGATGTGAATGGAGGAGAAGGTACTGCACCATGGCTGCCAGACCTCCCCGCCGGGGGTGATTTCTCACCGTCCTTCTCTTTCTCTTTCTCTCCCTCTCTGGCAAACTCATGTACCCTATAACAAACTAAAAAAAAGGGGGGGGAAGCAAGTGGGTGGGGAGGTCTAGGACTTCCTTCAGCATGCCCAGTCTGGGCCAGTTGAGATCTGGGATGGAACACAGCATAACCTCTCTCTGTCTCAGAAGAATAAGAAACTTTGAAAGCAAAAAGCAAACCAAAAGAGAGAGAAAGCATGCAATTTCCATGTAGTATTCTTACACAGACCATCTGTTCCTCAGCTCTGTCAAGCTAAAGTGAACACATAGAAACCACAACCTAGCATCATGACCTGCAAATGGATACTGTAATACAAGTCCCCTCACATGAAACCTATCTGTCTGCAGTTTCCAGGTTTCCTCTAGAGACTCTGGTTGCTGTTGCATTTTAATAGATTTTGTCCAAAGGATTCCTCCCACATAAACCAGGCACCCAGAAGCTAATAGTCAGTTCTACATTTGAAATATAGAAATACACATTAATATTCAATAATGTAACCTTTCGTACAGTTAAAATATTTATAAGAATCACGCATTAAGGTTAAAAAGTATATCCCTTAGGACCAGCAGATGGCAGAAATGGTTACCTCACTGGATTCCCACACAGTGGACCATGATTCAGGTCCCGAACCTGGTAGCTTAAAACTCACACCGGGAGGGTGTGCATGTGTGCCCAGGATCCCGAAAGGAGAATGGAGGAGAAGGGATTGCAGCATGGCCATCCGCCCGGGGGTGATTTCTCACTTTCTGTTTTCTCTGTTGGGCACACACACCCTATTGGAAAAATATTTCTCTCTCAAAAAAGAAAAGTATATCCCACCAAAAACCCAGTAAGTTTGGCATTAAGGCACTACCATCTCTCAGTATAAACACATTCTATACCTAGAAGAAAAATGATCTTTAGTGATGGAAACAGCAGATACAGAATAAAACACTTCTTTAATTTTCCCTGCATCTACGCCTATTTTTTTTTTTTTTTGAGGGGTTTTTGCTACAGGGCATGTGCGCTCGCCAGAAAGAGAGACAGAAATTGAGAAATCACCCCCCAGGGGGGATGGCCACACTGCAATCTCTTCTCCAGTCTCCTCTCAGGATCTTGGGCACAAGCGCACACACACCCAGCTTGAGTTTACGCCACCGGGTCTAGGACTCGAACTGTGGTCGGCTCCATGGGAGTCCAGCAACATAGCCATTACACTAACTGCTGGTCTCCCCCATGTGTTTTTCAACCTGCCAGGTCCAAGACTGGAACTAGCCATCTTAACCACTGTACCATCAGCTGGCCCACACAAATGTATTTTATGTATTCTCACTTGTGTGTACTAAGTTGTGATGTAAGATGTACTTCAAACTGGTTTGAGAGTCACTGATCGACAGATATGAAAATGAGGAAGAATGAAAAAGATTCCAGTATGGATACAAAACAAACAGCAGGCTGAATGATATGCTAAACTACTTTTTAGCACTTGTGGTTGGCAGCCCTTCTCCATGACTGAGTAGCCTACTGTTTAATAACCCTAATGGAAAGAATTCTAGAAGATGATAGTCCAGGACTGCACAAGTTCAAGTCTTGAGTAGCAGGGCCATCAAACTTGGTCTCTGTTAAAAAAGCTGACTTGGGTGACCTTCAAGAACAATGTATCTTCCTCTTCTTTTAAGTTATAAGCAGAAAAGATTATTACATATGCAACTGAGCAGCTAGGCTGGGCTAAAAGCCCAAGTCGTCCAAACCCAGTGCCTACCTTAAAAATTTTAGGCCTGGGCAAACCAGACAGTGGCATGATGGTTAAGGTGGCTGGATGGCACATGGCTGATTGCATGGTTCCCACATGGCTGACTGAGTCCCGGACCTGATGGCTTGAAAAACCCACCAGGCACGTATATGCACATACTCAAAATCCCAAGAGGAGAACAGAGGTGAAAGAACTGTGGTGTGGCCATCTCCACTGAGGGCTGTTTTCTCACTTTCTCTTCCTCTCTCTCCTCTCTCCAACTCTCTCTGATGAGCACACATGCCCTATAGCAAAATCTGAAGAAAAAAAAAAATTTTTTTTTTGAGAGATTTTCACTGTAGGGCGCGTGCGCTCGCCAGACAGACAGAGAGAGACATAGAGACAGAAAGCGAGAAATCACCCCCCAGGGGGGATGGTCACGCCGCAATCCCTTCTCCTCCATTCTCCTCTTGGGATCTTGGGCACGCACGCACACGCGCCCGGCGTGAGTTTTAAGCCACCGGGTCCGGGACACGAACCGCGGTCGACTACGTGGGAGTCCAGCGACATAGCCATTACGCTAACTGCTGGTTCCCGAGAAAAAAAAATTTTTTAATTGGCGAGGAATAAAGCAGATTCTTTTCTAAAATATGGGTAGGCTTCATCCAATCAGCTGAAGGTATGAAAAGAACAAAATGCAAGAGGGAATTCTGCAGCAGATTGCCTTCAGACTGGAACTGCACCATCCACTGTTCTGGGTCTCCAAGCTGCCAACCTGCAGACTGAAAATGTACCACTGGCTCTCCTTGGTCTTGAGCCTGCCAGTCCACACTGCAGATTTTAAACTTCCCAACTGAACTATGAGCCAAACCCTTATAATAAATAAAGAAATATGCCCGTTGGATGTCCCTTGCCCTTCCCCATACAAAAGCTTAAAAAAAAGACAAAATAAGTACAAAATAATACCAGAAGAACAGAGTGAGCCAGAGAAGAAAAATGAAACACAAAAAAAAGAACTAGATCATTAAGGGACTTAAGGGATGTGAACGTTTCGATTTTATGCTAAATGTGATAGGGTATCACTGAAGGACATGGTGTAATCTGCATACCTTTACAAAAAAGTTGCTTTTTTTTTTTTTAACAATCACTATGTAAAGAACTGACTCTACCAAGGAAATAGTAAAAGCAAGAAGATATTCAAGAAATGCAGCTGAAGTAGTGGTAAGGCACTAGATTCCCACATGGCTGACCATGGATTGAATCCAGGACCAGGCAGCTTGAAAATCACAACAAATAAATACATAAAAAAAAAAAATTAAAAAAAAAAAGAAACAAAGGCACTTGAGGGGCCAGCAGATGGCATGGAGGCTAAGGCACTGGGCTCCCATTTGGCTGACTGCAGTTTGAGACTCAGATCTGGCAACTTTCACTCTCTCTCCTCTCTTTTTTTCTCTCAAGCACACATGCCCTATAGCAAATAATATAGAATATTATGGAAAATAACCATAATATTCTAAATAAAAAAAATTCTTAAAAAAAGAAACCTAAGCAGTATTTAAAAAATAAAAAAGAAAATGCCGTTGATAAAGTGGAAAGGATCTTGACAAGTAGATCATTGATACGCTGAGAAAAAAAAAACAATTTAGAAATTCTAGTACAACACTAAAAAGAGGAGGCTAGAATCATTTGCTTAGGGACTAAAGTTAGAAAATTTGATGCAACTCAATTAAGAGCGTGTAAAGAGCTAGAACAGGGCACAGCTGGATCCCACGTGGCAGACTGTGCAATCAATTAGAGTCCCAGACCTAGCTGCTTGAAAAAGCATGCCAGGCACAAGTGCATGTGTGCCCAAAATCCTTAAAGTAGAATAGAGAAAGGACTGCAGCATGACCATCCTCCCTGGGGACTGCACGTGCGCTCTCTCACTCACCCTCTCTCTCTCTCTCCAGGGAGCGTAGGCATCCTATAGCAAAATTAAAATTTTAAACATTTTAAAATTAAAAAAAAGGGCAGACTCAGTAAAGTAAAACGAGAGAAGGCTGTCAAGATAGAACCCACAATACTAGATGAGAGACACCAAAAGTGCAGTTTTACAAAGTTACAATGTCAAATGCTATACAAAAACAGAGGGGATTGTGAGACTAAACTAATGAATCTTACAAGACAGCAATTTCAGAAATCTTGGTTGAGAGCTAGAAAAGGGTTCATATTTTATTATAAAATTGTTAAAGCTGGGACCAGCAGATGACACAATGGTTATATCACTGGACGCCCACATAGTCAACCGCAGTTCAAATCTTGGACCTGCTGGCTTGAAACTCACGCCAGGTGTGTTTGCATGTGTGCCCAAAATCCTGAGAGGAAAATGGAGGAGAAGAGATTGAGCATGGCCATCCCCCTTGGGGGTGATTTCTTGCTTTCTGTCTGTCTCTCTCTTTCTGGTGAGTGCACATGCCCTGTAGCAAAAGTCTCTTAAAAAAGAAAAGAAAAAAATTTTAATAACAATAAAATAACATTGTTAAAGTTTACTAACTTCTTCCATGAATGACAGAGACAGCTCTCCCAATTGGGTCTTTTTCGGAGAGGTTTATGCTATAGGGCTCATGCGCTCACCAGAAAGACAGAGAAAGACAGAGAGACAGAAAGTGAGAAATCACCCCCCCACACCCAAGGCGGATGGCCCTGCTACAATCCCTTCTCCTCCACTCTCCACTTGGGATTTTTGGGAACGCACACACACACGCCCAGCTTGAGTTTAAGCCACTGGGTCCAGGACTCGAACCACAGTCGACTACATGGGAGTATAACATAACCATTACGCCAACTGCTGGTCCCCCAATTAGGTCTTAATGATGCAATCCACCCCTAGTCTCAGCAAATTCCAGATTATGGGCATGTGTGGACCATGATACTCAGAAGGGTCTCTGAAGGCAAATCTGGAACTTTCCCATATGGGTCAGCCTGGCAAAGCATCTAATTTTACCACTGCACTAGTCTGTCCCCTATAATGAAGTTTTAATTAGTTTTCTTATTTCCCAATTGGGACTCCAAAAGATCAATTCTGAATTAAATCAAAGTAAAGTTATCCAGGTAAGCCTGGACTAATCACATAAACCTTTTAACTCTGGCTCTAGAGATCAGACAGGGAAGGAAGAGAGATTCTGAAGTCACAGACATAAGTTCACGATGGTCTTTAAGAGCAAACATCCATATTATGAAAGGTCTCTCTGGGTCCACATGACTAGGAACTGCAGGAAACCTCTAGAAGTTAAGACCAGTAGCAAGCAAGAGCCAGGAAGAAAACAGGAATCTCAGTCCTCCAGCTACACAGAACTGAAATCTACCAACAATCTGCATAACCAAACGTGCAACACTGCATGGCTAATACTTTCATTGCAGCCTTCTATGAAGTTGAGCAGAGACTCCAGATCATTCAAGCCCAGACTTTTACCCTACAGTAAATGTAAGATAATCAAGGGGTGGTGTTTTAAATGGCTAAATTTGTGCTACTTGTAGCACAGCAACAGAAAATACAGGTACCACTTTCCTAGAGAATAAGCTTCTCTTACCCTAGCAATGAATAGGGAGAGAAGCAAACTTGAAAAAACAAGGCTTAACTTTTATGATCTCTAACTTGCTGTGTCTAGAGACACTGTTCAGTTTCTGCTGGAGTCACAGAATCTGTATTGTGATACACTTTGCCAAAATATTGATTTTCTGAAAATCGTAGTTTATTTTGTTTTAGAAAGTAACTAGTAATTAGGCAAAATAAACAAACCAAAAAACCTGAGAGTCCAGGCTAGGCTCCCTGAATGTGGGTCAAAGTTGTCCTAGCCTCTGGAGACATGGATCCCTACAGTAACTCTCAGAAATGAGCACAAGGTCGTCACTCCTGTCCGCCCTCAAATACCAGGAGTCTGAGCCCCACAAACGAAAAATTTTGCTTTTGTTTGCACTAATAATAGCTCAGAGAACGTGTTCTCTGCTACGAAAAGAAAGGTAGTGCCTTTCCTATAATTACAACCTTGACCCCTCAAACGCGGACACACTCGAGCAGTACTGGAACCTCCCAAGTACAGATGCAACAAGCCGCGGGCACGCATGGCCTGCTGGGAATTGTAGTTCTCTCCCCTGACCTTCACCACTGGAAACCTACCTATCACGCGCTCAACCGGCGACCCGGACGCCGGCAGCCAGGATTGGCCCCTGACTGGCCGAGCGCAGTGCTAATTGGACGACACGCCCCGGAGCCGCGCCTCCTGGCCTGCGCCCGCCTCCCCGCTACTACTCCACACCCCACCTCGCTTCCCCAATAACCCTCAAGTCACCCCAGCAGGGTGAACCGCTTCACGGGTGCGCCCGGGACTCTCACGATGAGGAGGGCCCTAAGACACGCCTTTGTCCTGACGCCTAGGCAGCGCCAGAGCCTCCCCCGTTTTCCGCTGGCTGTCCTCCGTCGGCTCCCTCGCGCGCACTCTCTCCAGAGCCCCCGCGCTCACCTGGGCAGCCGTGGTCAGGCCCGATAACTGACAGGCCCGGAGCATCTCGGCCGAGTGGACGGCACTGCTGGTGTACGCGGGAGCTGCCGCGGCGGGGGCCGGAAAGG